TTATTTCTTAAGGCAAGAAATTGTGAAATGCCCTATGTGAAGTCCAAGTACAATGTGAGTCATGTGACTATGGAAAATTGACTTATCAAGCTCTTCCCATTCCCACAACTGCTGAAAGAGTTTCACATGTTTGACACACAATTGGCAGAGTGTATGACAAATCAATTTGAGGTCTACATAGTATACTATGTAGGCAATAGAATTGTAAAAGTTTGTTAATAGATAGAAACTCTTTGCCTGAACTATAGGATTAGTGAAAAGGAAAGAAGATAAGCTAAGTAGGGTGTATTCACCAGAAGTCCTACTTTGACCTTACAGCCTGCTTGTCTTATCTACTGTCTACTACACAAAGCATTCTCTATTACCACATAGTTTCACATGAGAAATGCCACACTAAGAGGGCTAATACAATAAAGGGTGTCTATAGTATTAGTTAGCTCAAACCCTGAATAAAATGTTACAATTGATGGAAAAGAAAATGAGTACTGATATAAAGCACTATACTGGAGACAATGTCTCACTCAGGTTGCAGAACAGGCAATTGACTAGTATTGAAGGAGGTACAAGAAGAGATACAGTCTCAGGAATGTCTTAGAGCTATTTATAAGATAAGTCATGTGATGAGGCTAACAGATTGTGTGTAACCTCTACAAGGTTACACTCTTCCCCACCAGGAAGAAGAGAGAAAGAGGGGAAAGGGAAGAGTGGTGCAAGAGTGTGTGAATAAATATAGAGGGTAAGGAGTAGGTAAGGCAGGGAAGGGATTGAAGAAGGAGGGATATATTAGAATAGAAATTGAGAATGTCTGTAAGAGAAAAGATGTGTTGAATACAAAGATGAAGATAAGAGAGGAGAAGGCATTAGTTGAACATGCTCTATAAGTGTTTTGTAGAATGGAAATTGAGGATTGAGGAGGGCTATGTATGAGAGTCAGTATGTAACTATTGTTCCTATTAGTCTAATACTGTACAGTTATCTAGTTCCTACTTAGACAACCAAAGATTGTCTTCTAGACTGTACCCTTTCTAGTAAACAAGGTATTGGAGGCTGTGTCCTTGTCTTTGTTGATCAATTATAGCTTCTACTTCCTACTCTTCAAGTCCTTCCTCTGTGAGGACAGGAGGAGGTTGTGCAAGTTCATGTGTAGAGTATAATGTAGGATCATTTGTATAGTATTGTTTGAGCTGAGATACATGAAAGGTAGAAAATTTGGTGTGAGAGTTTGGCAATTCAAGCTAGTAAGTAGAGCATTCTGGGAAAGCCTTAAGGACACAGTACTTACTGTCCTATCTTAGCATGAATTTGACTACACAATTGTCACCACTCTGAGTGTAATCTTGACACTAATGAAAGGTAAATAGTATAACAAAATCACTAGGAGTATAAGAGTCTTCTGGACTCCTCTTCCAGTTTACAGTATGAGCTTGAGAAGTTTTAGCCAGGATGAGAGAGTCCTGTACTTCTACAACATTAAGATCAAGCTGCTAGATGAGAGAACAAGCTTGCTTGTCCTCTAGAAGGGTAGGCTTGTTGTCTAGTAAGAGTACAAGAGGTAGGATCAGACAGAGGCATCAGCTAAGGTAAAGTTGAAAGGGGGAAAATCCTGTTGACACATTTTTGGTGTTTATAAGCTTGAACCAAACACAAGGTAGTACACAGTACCAGCCCTTTTGTTGTCAGTTAACATAGAATCAAAGTGCCTGAATGACTGACTTGTTTGTATGTTCTGAGATTCCATCTGTTTGAGGGTAATAAGCTGTAAACATCTTCAGTTTAACCTCTGAAATTTTATAAAGAGCCTTCCAGAACTTGGAGGTAAAGAGGTGATCCTAATCTGAGATAATGTTGAGGGGAAGGCTGTTTTTACAATACTATCTGTCAAAGAAAACACAGGCAAACTCTTCAGGAGTTTGGCCTATACAGATAGGGAGTAGGTGAATGTTACTACTGAGTTGGTCAGTAATAGTCACAATTCTGTTGAACCTGTAGTCTAGAGGCAGAGGACCTATAAAGTCAATAGTAATTGTATTACCATGCTAGTCAGCCATAGTAAGAGGGTGTAAAGGACTGGCAGGTTTTTGAGTAGACAATTTATACCTCTGACATGAGTCATATTACTTAATGTATGAATTTTTAAGGTCAGAATGTATGTTTGGCTAGTAGAATAATGATTTTAGTGTTGTATAAGTCTTGTCAATCCTAAAGTGGCCTATAGAGTTATGAGTGAGTTTGTAGAAATGTTCACAGAGTTGATTGACACACAGAACAACAAGCCTGTCACCTAAGAACAGTAGACTGTTCTTAACTTGAACACTAAGGGATTTGAGAGGCTGAGAGAGGAGCTTAGTACAGAATGGGTCATCTTTGTAGGACAATTGGATTTGAAGAAGTAATTGTTCATCTGTAGAGATTGTAAGGCAGGAGGATACTACTGTAGGGGGGGAGAATTCCTCATTTGGAAGTCTGGACAGAGTGTCAGCAGCTTTGTTTTGTTTGTCAGGCATGTATTGAACATCAAAAACATATTAAGCCAGGAATTCTTACTAACATACTTGTTAGTACAAGAGATCTCTCTGGGAAAGGAAACTTGTGAGTGTCTTGTGATCTGTGAATATGGTGAATGTAGTTCCTAGGAGGTTGGAGCAGAACTTTTTAAGAGCTTTCACAATAGTAAGTAATTCCTTCTTGTAGACTGGGTAGTTACACTCTACAGGCTTTAAGAGAGTAGAGTCATAAGTAACAGGACAAGCCAAGTCTGGTGAAGGCCTAAAGGAGAGAACTGTGCCTGTACAGAGATCTAAGGCATCTGTGTAGAGATAGATCTTATTGTCACCAGGATCCAGGTGGTTAATGACTGTTAAGTATTGTACAGACATAGTAAGAGCCTTGATAGTGTCAAACACATGTTGAAACTTTGAAGACTAGTGTGGGAAATCCTTATCACATTCCTTTGATGTTAAAGGGTTCAAGACAGTAGTATGTTCTGTAAGTCTAGGTAGAAAGGGAGTAAGAAACCAGACAAGACTAAGAAACCTTTGTGTGTCTGAAGAAGATTGTAGCACCAGCCATTGTATAATCTTCTCAGTTTTGGTAGGGTCTGTGTGTATGCCTTACTGATCTATTTAATAACCTAAGAAATCAATTGATGAACAGAACAAGAAGGTT